CCCAGGACAACACGGAGCCAGGTACGTGGGCAATGAAGCTTTGAGATGAGATCCTGCAGACAGGATCCATGCTCCAGGGAGAGGCTCTCCTTGGCAGTGCTTGGTGCTCCACAACCTCCAACCCCCTTGGTGACAGCCACTGAGGCCGCCGGGCTTGGTGGCACTGCAGGAAGCCAACGGTTGAGACGCGGGCTCACCTCGCCCCAGGCCAACCACAGCTCTAAAGCCAGAGCCTCACGGACCATCCTGCTCCTTCTGAAGCCTAAATGAGGGAAACCACCCCAAGATGGGTCAGACGTGATGGACAGAAGCAGTCAAAAGACAACGAGGCCTGTCGGAAGTTCCCTCTTGGCCAGCGACTCCAGATCACGCATGGAGGCATCACCACGGAGATTTTTCAGCAAGACATCGGTGCTGCGAGGTGACACGAACACACTCTCGTTTCCCAAAGGCGGATCTTCTCCTGAGGCAGGGCTAGAAGCCGTTTTGGTTTCTGTGGACCCTCAGTCACCGTTTCAGAAGGCAACGACAGTGTCACCAGGAGCTTCCCATGGGAGACGGGCAAAGCTGGAAAGCTTAAGGAGAGGAGGTGGCAACACACTCTTCCTATTCAAGATGCCTGATGCAGCCTTGTCTCGGCAGACGGACAGTCCCTCCTGCCATGGAGCCGGGAACACATCTTTGTCACATCCCACCGTGTGACAGCTCCAGACTCCATCATGGTGGGATACAGAAGCACATTCCTTCACGTGACCCAGCGCGTGGGCATCCTGAAGTCATGACCAGCACACGAGGCCGAGGGAGAAGGCAGCATTTTCCTGTTCCGTGCCTGGGGCCGCCGGTTGGCAGAGGGTGGCAGGAAGCATGGTGGGAGGTTTGATCTGACAGGTGGATGGAGGTGCCAGGTCACCACCTGCGTGTCTGGGCTTTACGATGGGAAAATGCCACGTCCTGATCCTGGGTTGCAGACGGCCCAAATAAACGAGTAGGCCACAGCCAATCAAAGCCTTCCACAATGCGGGATCTGCCTCACTGGACACAGCTACTGGGACACAGCGAAGCTGGCGAGCGCTGAACACGCGTCGGTTCGGTGCTTCTTTAGAGCAGGTCTTCCTCAACAGTCCCGTTGGCCAAATCCCAAGTCCGTTAACGACCTTACCTGGTATCTGCTGCAGACCAGTGGCCCCAGAGTCAGGCTAAGACGCCGCGGAAGACGTACACCTCCCGTTTAGCTGGTCACTGAAAACCGATTAGGGTCTAGTCCTCCACTAGTGCATAAAGAGAAATAGCGGATGAACAGAAGGGATCCAGGTCTGGGGTGCAAGCACGAGGGATCCCACGTGGATCATGCCTCCCGAGAGCTGCGAGGGAAGGCAGGAGCATCGGCACAAGAGTGGAGAAGGGAAGGGCTGGGCTTACGCACGGCCACAGTAGGACTGTGTTCTGGGAGTCAGCTGCAGTTGTGCAAGAACCCAGAAGCTATTAGAAAAGGGGAGTTATCCTGAGGCTTACAAAGGAAACATGACTGAAATGCGATCTGTAGCCCATATCACGAGTTACAGATGCAGGGATGGCCACTTCACGCCCCTAGCTTGCTAACAATTTGTCCTGCTGTAAAAATAAAAGTAGCCTTCTCCACACAAGCTGTTGATATCGAAAATGAGACCTTCACCCATCAGGCTTTGCAGTGACCAGACCAGTTAAAAGGTTTAGCTAGAAATATTTCACCCCTTTTCGGGTTTTATAAGCCAACCTACGCTTGCCAGTTCCATCACCTGTAAGGAAAATCCAAGTTTTGAAAGAAGTTTGCTGTAGTTCAACAAGCTTTTCCTGTTTCCTCCAGCCGCTGGAGTCTGCTGACTAAGGATCTTTGTGCCCTGAGGGTGCCCTGCAGCACAGGCTTTACCTGGGAGGCTGCTAGTCCTGAGGGATGGAGTCCTGCAGCTCAGGATACTTCTGAACCTCAGAGGACAGCCAGCTTTAAAGGAACAAGTCCTTCAGGGAAGCTGCTTGCTCTGACCAGACTGCAGGGACCTTCACCCACAGCTCATCTGCCAGGTACAACCAGACACGGGGGCTGGTGGGGTCACATCAAAACCACAATCCGTCAGCTCCAGAACGTAACAAATCCTTTGAATCCGTCTCAAAACCCAGCTGAACACTGACAACCTTGAAAACACCCGACACACACCACCAGCCTCCCTTCCTCAGTCCGAGGGTGAAACGCCACGCTCACAGCTCCAAGCTTGACTTGCTCCACAGCATCATACGGTGCGTGGCAGGGCCGAGGCCACCCAGCCGCCGCGGCTCAGAAACGCGTGTTGTGTGCTTAAAGGCCACGGCGCCCACAGAGCACTTGAAAAAGCCACAGGAAGCCAGAAGCGCAGCCCCCTAAACGCACCGACGCTCACTCCATCAGCCAAGCTCCACCAGAGCTCGGCCTGCGAGCGACAGCCCACCCTGGGACCCCAGAGATGCTCCCAAGGCAGCAGAGCACGGGGTTTACCAAATGACCTACAAAAAAACCCCATCAGGAGACAGCATTTGGAAAAGAAACATGATGGCAAAGACCAGGATACACCCTCATGTGTCTGGATGTCAACTTTGGTACAGGCAAGCAGCTGAACAGCTCAGTCAGCAAGGGGAGGGGGGGGAAATCATCACCCAAGGTCACATCCTGATCAAACAACACAAAAAAACAAGGCGAAATCCACTGGGGACAAAGCCAGGGCTCCAACTGTCACAGCGTCCAGCAGCCCAAACAGTCCACAGCCACAACTGGAATGAACTGCATTGCAAACGAGCGCTCTTGCACCGACACCCGTAAGGGACCCAGAAGGGGCCCAGAGGGTCCCCAGAGGAGTCTCAGCCACTGGTCCTGCGAGCCCAGACCCAAAATCCAAGCCAGGGCTGTCCCTCAGGATCAGCTGGTGTAGCACTGGCCTCATGGAGAGGAGGAGAACACCAAGCCTTCAGACCCATCAACCCCTTGCCCCAGGATGGGGGTAAGGCCAGGGTGAAGCACAGTTTCTCCATGGGGAAATGGTTTTCCACCTCTGACGTGGATGCGCCCCGGCAGCCCCGAGGAACGGCAGCGCTCGCGGCTCCCTCACGCCTACGTACCTTGACGTCAGCGATGAGGGCGTCCTCGTCCTCGATGCCGGTGGGAACGCACTTCTTGTGCAGAGGGAGCGACTCCAGTTTGTCCACGAGGCAGCGCAGCCCCTCCAGCTCAAACTGCGTGAGGTGCACCTTCCTGCTCTTCTGCGGGCTGCCACCGTTCGGGTCCCAGGCCTGGCCGTTTTGGGAGCCCCGGCTGGAGTCAGAAGAGTCTATAGATGGGGTCTTCTTCAGACCCGGCAGGCTGCTCCGGCAGCTCCTGCCCAGTTCATCATAGTCCACATTGGCACCGTTGGCTATGGGGCTGGTGAGAATGGACCGCCTTGTGACCGGTCGCCTGGGTTCCTTCCCTGCTGCGTCCTCGTCTTCTTCCTCCTCCTCCTCCTCTTCCATGTTTACCGAGTCTGAGGAGCTCAGCTCCATATCTGCCATGGAGAACGAGGGAGAGAAGAGCACAGTGACCAGAATCACTCACAGGAGGCGATCAGTTCCAGAGGAATTTCCTCCTCCAGCTACCAGAGATGCTGGAGCAACAGATACACAGAGGAACAAGGCAAGAGGAAACAACAGGGCACAGAGCAGAACAGTTACAAACCTTTTCCTGGCTCATTTTGTGGGAAGGCAAGGCACATAGGAAAACCTCTCAGAGGAGGAGACAACAATGCCCTAGAATGAATTTTGTACAATCCTACAATGATTTGGGTCAGAAGGGACCTTCAAAGATCATCTAGTCCACCCCCACTGCCATGGGCAGGGGCATCTTTGCCGACAGCAGAGGCTCAAAGCCTCATCCAACCTGACTTTGCTTTGAAGGGCTTGGAGTCTCCAGCCATCTGGTCCCGTGAGTGATTTGGGACCTTGATCCTGCTTTCATGATGGGAGAAAGAAGATGTGGAGTCACTAGATGAGGTCTCTGAGCCTCGGTGTGCACAATAAAGCACCCTTCTGACAGTAAAAGGGAAGGGTGGGGGGGTGTCTCCTGCTCCTTTCCTTTCAGTTCTCCGTACTAGTTCCCACTTCACTGCTCAGCGGTGGAGAAGAACCAGTGAGGGAAGTGAAGGCCCTCAGGCAGCAGCAGGACAGACAGCCTTTCCCAAAGCAAGTGCTGAAGGAGATTCTCCAGAGAACCACAGGAAAAGAACAAAAGCTGGGAGCCGTGTCCCTCTGCTAGGGCCTCTTGGACAGAAATTGAAAGCCCCAGAGGCTGTGGCTGCGAGGAGAAGTGCCCAGGAGTCAGTATGTGCAGCCTCTTAGGGGAGTGAGGACAGATTTGCCTCGAGGGCCTTGGCTGGAGGCTATTCAGCTCTCTCCCACTCTGAAGAAGGGTCTGTAAGAAATCATCTCTTGAACCACTGCTCAGGCCCTGCTTGCCTTGGCTGTAAGGAGGCCCGCATTCCTTTTGAACGAGATTCCCTTGCTCGTAACTTTGACGGCACTTGAAACTGTGTGTGCAGGAAGGCCCTGATCAGCCAGAAAGCATTGCTAGCCCACAGCACAGCGGCTGTTACTGCAACTTCCCTCCGCCTCTTCGGTTAAGGCCTTCACGTGTACCAGCGAGGCAGGGAACTTGCAGACTGGTTTTGCAGCTGCAAGGAACCCGGCCTGTTGCAGGGGCAAAGGAGGAAGCAAAAGTCTGGCTAGTTTTGACTTCTTGCTCAAAAGGAAAAGTAGTAAGTCGCACCTCCTTTGGCCAGTCTGCAACGCCCTTCACTTGCTCAGTACAGCAAACAGGGAGGAAACACCCAAAGAAACCACCTTGTGAAATAGAGGAAGTGATGGTCCCAATTTCTTCCCACATGGCCCTGCCCTGCCCACCGCACTGCTAAGCCAGACAGCACCCCAGGGTGCAAGAAACCGCTTCGACGGGGGGTGAGGAAGGAACATGGGCTGGAGAGCCGAGGCAGGGGCTTACCCATGCTGAGCGATTCCTTCTGGAAGTCCTTGGTTAGATGCGAGCGGCTGGTGATGCAGTAGACGTAGCGCTCCAGCACATACCAACACATCTCGTAATAGAAGGGATAACGAAACTTGTTTGGGACCTGAGAAAGAGGCAAGGGGAGGGAGAGAGTCTCAGGTCTCCTTCACCACCAGGCTACAGTGACAGGTCTCATTACCACTGCCTCAAACCAGACCGATCCCCTCCTGAGAGACAGGAAACACATGTACATGTTTAACAGCATCACTCATGCTTCTGGCAGCCTGATGTAATTCTCCTTGCTGAAGGATATTATCCCCAGGCAGAGCAGAGACCAGGCACTGCTCACTTGCAGGCCATTACCATTTCATTTTCCTTTGTTAGGGCTGCAGCTCTTCCCCCACAGGCCTCCTTCTCCTTAGTACAAGAAAAGACAGAGGCCACAACAGGTTTCAGTTGAAGATAATGGTTCAGGCCCCAGCACAGCACCTGATAGTATTTGTAGGAGGGAGGGAAAGGGTTGGTCTACTAAGGGAGGTGTTACCAGCTCAGCTATTAGCAGAGTGCTGTTTGGGCTCTGTCACACCAATTCACACGCCCGGCAGAAGATGAGTTGGAGCGATCTCTCCCAGAGTGAGACACAATTTGCCTGCCCGCCACGCCACCGCTCTAGGCTGCGCCCTCCCTCCCACATCCCAGGAGGCCACGTCCTCCCAGCCCTCCCGCAGGTCCTTACCCGCGTGCGGTCTTCGATGCTGTAGATCCGGAGCTGCATAGGGATGTTGAAGCTGTGTAAGAAGTTGCCTCCGAAAACCAGTGTGTCCATGGGAGTGTACACAGCATGGATCCAACCTTGGAGGGAAAGGAGAGTTGGAAGAATCCTTCTGAGCAGCTAGGTGAGGTCGAGGTCTCTACAGTCCCTAATAAATCCTTTGCAATCTCTTACAAACTGTGCTCTTCAGAGCGTCAAATCTCTAGAGTCTTCACACAACTCAGCTAAACGCACCCTGACAGATGCACTTAACCAGCACCCACGTTAGCTGCACACACACGGACTCGCTACCGACTCCCTGTCTCGCCAGCCAGCCCTAGCAGTAGCCAGAGCGAGGACGGGACCGCAACGACTCCAGCTCTGTGAGGAGAGCAGGCATTGCTGTGTTGCAGCACTGTCCCCCCTTCCTGAAGCCTCACTACTGAATTACTCAATAGCCGGCTCAATTGACCCATCTAAAAAGCTAGAGACAGACTTAAGCACCTAATACACCCCTGCCTGGTGACACACGTGCCAGCATCCGCCTCCTGTCCGTAGCTTTTTTCCATCCTGGTTGTCTCTGGAAAGTTGCTTCCTAGTTGCGTTAGGCCTAAGAACAGCAGCAACAAAGAAAACAGTCTTCCAAAGCCTGGTCAGCAGTCAAAGAAGCCTCAAAGCAACTCTAGCCCCAGCTCCTATCTCCAAGGCAATCCAGCCAAGCCCAACATTTTGGGAATTCCAGCATGGGTTTCCTTAGGGCAAGGCCATTCAATTCAGAAGCAGCATCAGCTGTGGTAACAGGACTCAAATGAGTAAATTGTGCAATCCCTGGTGTTTTCAGTTCCCAGTCCTGCTGTAAGCTACAACACAGCTTGTTCCTGCACCGCTGTCGGAGATGAAACGGCAGGTTACAGGAGCCTTTGGCATCTGAGAGTCTGTGCACACAATTTTTAGGCAACGCTTATTAGCAGCCTCCAAAGGGCTCCAACAATCTTTCTCCTTGCAAGGAAACATTCCCAAGCGTGAGCACAACGTTTTACAGACATCCCAGGTTAGCAAAGGCTGCGAGCCAGTCCTTGCAAACAACCAGCCCCAGCCGCTTTCTCACCTGCCTCGTCCCTGCTGCCTGTGCCGTTTTCTAGCACGGCGCCATACCGACTGGGCAGGCAAGGCACCCTCCAAATATTCAGCCTGCTAAACCAAGTCGGGCGGAAGATTTCTCCTACGAGTGTTCCCGCTCCCAGCCTTGAAGTCTCCTGGCCCAAGCCCTCTGCAAAGCAGTTGTCTCTCCATGTTATTGCTTCCCAGCTCCCTGCTGGGTTTCAGCGTTTTCCAACACCCACTTCCAGCTATATGCTTCCCAGTTCTCCTTTCTCCAGTACATACAGACTTCGACTGTCTTTCCTTGCATCCAGAGCAGTCACCTGTTCCTTAAACTCGCACACTGGCTCCCTTCCTTGCTTCCCAGCTTGAAGATAACCCTGCAGAGACTTCACAAGAGAGCCAGGCAACTGTGGAGCCGTGCTGCCTTGGGCCAGCCTGTCCTCGGCACGCACTGCTCTGTGTGTCAACGCAACAGGCACTGGGAAAACCTCCTTCAATAGTCGATCAAGCCTGATGCGAGCCAGCCACAGCTTTCCTGTCACTTGGGCTGAATCCACAGTGCCACGTGCTTGGGGAGCTGGCAAGAAAGAGGATGGAGTCACATCTCCCTCTCCCAGTTACTCATAAGGGACTAAGCTAAACCTGCCTGTTCTCATTTTGCTCGATTCCCAGGAGTTTTAGTCTCTCACCACAACCCCGGCAAAGATGAGGATGCGCCTGCCCACCCTGCGGTACCTGAGGGGATGACAAATGTGTAGCCCTGCTTGAGCTCGATGCGCTGGCACTCTGACACTCTGTCCCCAAGGAAAATGTCTCCCTGCTTCCCTGAGAGAAGCCAGTTTTCATAGAGCTCCAGGTTCTGGGGTGTAGGAGGGATCAGCCAGAAGATCTGCAAACAAAGACGACACATGTAAGTCACTGCATAATTTAACAGCTACCAACTACCCTCTGCTTCTTCCAAACCTGCCCTGCTCCTTCTTCAGACACCTAAATCTCTTCCTCTCCTCACCCAGAGGATGAAAATCTACAGAAATTCCTGGTGAAGTGGGATATTTGACAAGCAAAGTCCTTCCCGACCTGACGCCCTGAGCACCACAGCTACAATGAGCTTGGGATGCTCTGTCAGGTGTTATTGCCATCAGTGCTTAGAGATCCAGAGCCCGCCAGGGTTGGAGCCAAAGGAGAGCTTTCCCTGCACAGTCCTGCCATGCCAGCAGAGCTACAGCTCTAGAGATTTGTACCTGCCTGGCTCCAGGTGGGAAGCAGATATCCATCCCCAATTCGGCTCTCCAGAGACTGTTAGCTCCCCCTCTGGGGGAAGGCTCCGGAGCCACAAACCATCAGAATGGCACGGGGAATCTGGCAGCTACGTCTCTTTTGCAAGGAAAGGTGGGTGAAAAGCCCAGGTGGGGCAGAGTTTTCTGCATTCCCTAGTCTAAGTCAGGGAAGAGAGATGGGATGGAATAATTGCCCAGGACTTGTCCTTGTCCAGGAATTCAAATCGCTGTCTGGGTCCTGCACCTTCATCAACAAGAGAAGGGACTAAATGCCGATCTCCTGAAGCATCTGCAACTTTCCCAACAAGGACTGGCCTACCTTTCCCCCTCGGTGGATGTGGTACCACACAGATGTACCACCGAAGTCCACGTGGAAGTCTGTGTAGCAGCCCTTGACACTCATCAGACAGTATCTGGCAGAAAACAAGATGACGATAAGGTGAAAACGAGTGGGGATCCGCATTCTAGAGGGGGGACAACGTATTCAAAGGGAACGTGCTGCCCAGACCCAGGCCAATGGCTCAGATCAGTGCCAGAAGCCAATTGCTGCACTGCTAAGCACTTCAGCTGCAAGGAGGAGGTGGTTTGCAGGACAGCTCACTTTGCATTTGCACCACTTTCCCACAGAAAGATCTAGTCCAGGCAAGAGGAGAGCATTCATCCTTACACACCGGCAGCTCTGGAAGCACCCCTCTCACAGGTCTGGCAGCTCAGCCAACTCCAAATATCTCAAGGTGGTGAGCAACAAGAGTTCCCCCAAAGCACAGCTTCCCTTGATACAAACTGCTTCTCCCTTGGGGTATTTTCTTGCAAGAGATGCTTGGCTGCCTACCACCACCGGAATGGCTCAGGAATTCACTTACTTCTGCACCTTTGGATACTGCATCTCCAGGATAGCATTCGTAGACTCTGTCTGACTCTCCTTCAGGTGTCTGGGCCACATGTTATCAACCCAGTCAATCAAATCCACCTACAGCAGAAGAGTGGGAGACATGAGTAGAGATGAAAGGGGCACAGTAACCCCTTCCTGCTACCCCCAGACTGTCATGGAAGCTCAAATACCTCTCGCCTGCCCACAGCTCACACTCGGCGGGGGCTGCAGGGTTGCACTGGGCCCACCGAAGCAGCGGCCAGCCATCCCAGCTCAGAGCACACCCACAGCAAACGACAGGGACGAGGAAGGGATGGAAGCCCTGGTGTTAGCTGGATGGCCACCATACCCCCCTTTTTGGGCACCCACAAGGTCAGCAACCTTCCCGATGCCACTGGTGTGATCCCAAATGTAAAGGGCTGTTCAGATGGGAGTTGCTGTACAGTGAATTCGCACAAAGAGCGAACACCGCTGCAAGATCCCAAGCACGGTAGTGGGATGCTGGTTGTCTCCTTGGGGGTGAGGCAGGAACTGCCAGGCACTGGGCTTACATAAAAAACCCACACTGGGAAGCATCTGCTAGGGTGGGATTCAACTCGCTACGCTTCAGGACGGGCAGAGATGTCCAGGCTCCCTCTACAGTTAACAGAGAGAAGCGAGTGGCCCTACAGAGCTGCCCCTTCCTCTCTGCCACTGTGAAAGGAGTTCAGGATCTCCATCCCATCAATCCCATCTTCCACGCTTCAGTAAGGGCAACTCATTGGCCTCCTGCCCCACTTCCAGTCGTGGCCTCCTCTGCCCTCAGAAATTCCGGCACTTTGCATCGGAAACCCTCCCCGCCAGGCTGCACGTGGAGTCCCAGCTGTCCTAACGGGATCCTGGTTTCCAAACACCAAGGAAACTGGCAACCTCAACCAGCATCCAGGCTTTAGCCACTCTCTCAAAATGCAGCAAGCGTTGCTGAGCTCTCCTGCCCAATTTAGGCCCTGCTGGAGTTTTACAGCCGGTTTTATGGCAAGGCACCCCAGCCCATCTCTCTGGCCACCATGGAGCTGATGGCTGTGGCAGGATGCAGGAGGGCTCTGCACCAGGCATCCGAGCAGCACGGTGCACGGCACAGAGGGAAGTTAGGCCCAGGACTGAATGACAGCCAAGGTCTTGGCAGGCAGTGCAATCAGCCAGCTGGGAGAGGGAGGAAGCCAGCGTCCCCATCCTGCCCCCAACACGCACCGTGGCTGAGCACAAATCTGAGCTCTTGGGTGCTTGTTCAAATGCTGTGCCTGTTCCTGATCACCAGCCAGCAGGAGCAGGCTATCTCACTCTAATTATTCCTCAGCCAATCACTTCCATCTCCCTAATTGCTGACAGCTAGTGAACAAGAATGACAGGCCAGGGACTTGCCGTGGTCCCTACAGCCAAGAGATGCATGGCTCGGGCGGCCCCAGCCTGACTGGGAGATGAGCTACGGCAGACGAGGCCCAGGTCAGACACAGGATCAGCTCCAGCTTCCAAGGCAGAGCAGCGACATCCGCACGCTACGAGCAGCCCCTCTCCTCCCGTGGTCAAGTGCCAGGCTGCACCTTGTCTGCCGACGACCGCAAGCACAAGGGAAGGGACATGTCCACGGAAGGAAAAGCCGCGCTCACCGTAGCAGGTCTCTGCACCAGGTTCTCCAGTTTGGTGTGGCTGAACTCCAGGCTGATGACATTGTAAAGTTTCTCCCGCTCAGCCTCCGGCGTTTCGTAGTAGCGTGCCCACTGTGCCATGGACATTTCGATATCCCTCTGCGTGTTCACATCCATGACATCCACCATCCGTCGGCTCCCTGCCAGAACAGACAGACGTCGCTGGAACCATCCCCAAGCACAATGGACCATCCAGAAGACACTCCAGGAGACAAGAGATCTCCAAAGAACCCACCCATACACATGTGTGACGTCTTGGCTTCTCCCGTAATCTCATCTTCCATACTCACTGCAAACCAGAAGCTGCTTCAGGTCAAACTAGACTCAAGCAGGTGAGAGTTGTGATGCTCTGGCTAAGGACAGCTCAGGTTCAACCAGCCGACGCGGGGAGTGCCCCAAAACCAGACCTCCAGCTCTGATAAACCTGACGACTCCCCCCATTCCTCCCCACCTGCCCAGGGCACAGAGGTGCACCGCGGTCCCCGGACACTTACCGACACACAGTCGCACATCATTCACGCTGAAGTCCGGATCTGGCATCCTGCAGGACAAACACCTTGCTTAAAAAATTCACAAAGCGCTTCCGCTTGTAGCTCCCACCTGTAACCCCAGGATCGGCACCCTGAAGATACTACCGTGCCTCCTTTTGCCTCTTGGGTGTGGGTGAAGACCATGCAACCAGCTCTCTGGGGGCACAGGTCTAGGCTGAGTGCTGGCACGAAGCACGCGGCCCAACTCCTGGCTAGGGAAGCAGATTTGGGACTAGGATATACCACCTCTAGAGCACTGAGATGCTGGCAAAGGAGCTAAGCAGTCCTAGCTCTCATCTTAAAGACTGCTCGTATGAGTTATCCCAGCGTAAAGGGCACAGCCAGACCAGTACAAGCAGTGTTTCACTGACACAGCGTCACCGCTCCAACTGTTTGTACTGGCATCATCATCTGTGCAAACACTGCCGTCACGGGCAGAATGGGCGGGCAGCCGTTCAAGCAGCTCTTGACCCAGAGAAAGAACCAAAAGCTCAAGAGAAACACAGTTTTTACCCATGCTGTAATCCTCAGCATCAAATCTCTGCCCTCCCAAGTGACCCAGCAGTTAAACCTTAGCCCGGCACGGTTTCCTCTCCAATTCACCACAGCACATCCAGCACTACACGAGATGTTGCCCACCCGCTCACAGCCAGCTGAGGAAGTTAGGAGCAGCGTTGCTGACACTGGCTCTGACAAGTTTGGAAGGGCTAATTTATTCCTCTTTCGTATTAATCAAACCCAAAAAACACTGGCCCAGCAGAAACACTAGAGCAGGGCAATTTATTTTTTAATTCTGTAAGACAGCTGTCATGTTTTGATGTAGCATTACTGGCCTTAAAACTACCTCTACCACCCCTCAGCGTATTTATATGAACATCATAAAATAGGACAAAGACTTGCATCCGTACAGCTTTACACCCAAAGCTGTAAACCTTAACTGACTGACTTTAGCAAGAGAGACAGATGGCAGTTTAGAAGTAACCATGTTGGGTAAATCAGGTTGGAATTGTGGAAAATTCCAGGAATACTACAAATTGCTTGACTCTCTGGCAGTAAATGCCTATGTTACTAGGAAAGAAATCCAGCCAGACGTTGCATCAGGGCAGCAGTGGGACTTTGCAGATGTCTGGTTGAATTGCGATCACCTACAGCCAGTTCAGTCCTCTCATTTGAAGTCCAGACTAGTAAGAACAGGGTAACTGAGGTGGACGACACGTCTCTGCTCACTGCATGCAAAGAGCAGCGTGGACAGGACAAAGTCATACCAGCTCGGCAGAGCGCAGATCCAGCTACCAGGATCAGATCCCACACAATGAGGGGAGAGGCGGGAAATCGTGCCAGAGACATCCACCCCTAACACTTACTTTATCCCCAGGCCGTCGGAGCTCCTGAAGATGAGGGGGTCTCTCAGGCCGCCCCGCTGGATGTATTCAACTGTGAAGTCTGGTGTGGGGAGACAAGAAGAGGAAAGGTGTTAGGGAACACTATGAGGAAGAATTTCTTCACTTTGAGGGTGCCAGAGCTCTGGAACAGGCTGCCCAGAGAGGTTGCGGAGTCTCCTACTCTGGAGATACTCAAATCCCCTCTGGATGTGTTCCTGTGCAATTTGCTCTAGTTGAACCTGCTCCAGCGGCAGGGTTGGACTAGATGATCTCCAAAGGTCCCATCCAACCCCAACCATTCTGTGACTCCTTCAGAGGAGTAGAGACAAACTGAGGTTAGAAAGGATCTCTAGTGCAACCCTGCTCCCAGCAAACTGACTTGTTTAGGGCCCTGTGCAGCTGAGACCTGAGAAATTGCTCATCTCTCTGTGGCAAGGTTAGCCAGCCCACGAGAACGCTGTTCCTTGCTGTTTCTACACCCCTTTGGAGATCCTGGAACTCCTTTGCGGCACTTCTGTGAGCAGCATGGTGTGTGCTGCTGACAAGCCTCAGACAGGCCCCTCAGGGAGGAGGGAGTTGGCTCTAACAGGCTGCACCAGACAGAGGAACAGCACGGTTTTTGGTCCTCACTTCCCCAAGAAGCTCACAGCCAAGCAAGAAGAAATGCTCCTCCCTCACGGTAAATCCTCGTGAGGCTTGCGCTGGCTGTGCGATGAAAAGACATCCCGCTGAGCCATACGCGTGGTGAAAGAAAGGGGAGAGATCCCACACAGTCTTTGAATCAAGCATCTCGTAGACATGTGGCTGCAATTACAGGTGCTGACCCAGGCAAACCCTCTCGTTCCTGGCTGCCACGTGTCCCAGCGAGCCCGCAGAGCTGCAGACTGGCCCACTGCTCTCCAGATCGAGCGGCTTCCATGTCGTTTCCCACACAGACTTCCTATTACCAGTTCTCCTGGCGCAAGGGCTTGACAGGCTTGAGCCAATCCTCCACCAGCGTGTGCCACACGTTGCCCTCAAACTGCTTGGAGCCTGCTGCAGGACGTGCTGGGGAGCAAACAAACATCCCCTGCCTGCTCTGCACCATGTGGGTTATGCAGGTATAGCGGTACACGGCAGAGAACAGCACAGAACTGGTGTGAACAGCAGACAGTTTTCCCCAAATTTACAGACTGAGGGAAAATAAAAGGCAGCAAAACACAGGAGAGCAGGAAAGGACTTCACTAGCAGCACAGCAGTCCCAAGACAAACCTTTGCCTTCCATGAAGACCACGAAGGTGGAATTAAACTTGTTGGTGGACAGCTTTTCCTCCAGGTCAAATGTCCTTTTCCCTTCGATTTCATCATCGGAGATGCCATCGTCCTCGTAACGCCGTCTCATCGTGCCACGCTGGGGAGAGAACAGACCAGGAAGGTAAGAGTTACGGATCAGGAGGAAGGTTTCCCAGAGGCTCATCTCAACCTAGCACGGCCCGGGGCCTCTGCAGAGCCCTTGCAGCAGGTAGTCCCTGGGCAGCTCACACGCTTTGACTCCCAGAGAGAAGAGACCCTCTATTACCAAGTTATATTACTCACTCTTGCTCAAAAAGCACTATCAGTCTTCAAGAGACACACGCCAGCAAAGATCTATTTAGGCAACGTTATATTACTTTGCTCAAAAAGCATCAATCTTCAAGAGAGACACGCCAGCAAAGATCTATTTAGGCAACGTCTGTCCCTGGATCTAAAACACACCACTGAAACATCAGATTTGCTCCTCCTACAACCAACAGATTCGTGCAAGTTGGGCTGTACGGGAGACAGATAATTTGCTCCTAACGAGCGCTAACACGGGAGGAGGGGAGATAGTTCAGGATAGCCAGGGCAAAGGAAAAAGAATCCATCTCCCATTTTTACGGGCGCATCAGCAGTTTGCTGCGCTGGAGAAAAAGGCACTTGTGAATTTAAATCCCTGCCAAGTGATAAAGGAATGGTTTATGCTGAAGACAGTTCAAGTTTTCATCTTTGGCTGTGCTTGTACACAAAAGTTGATTTATTTCCTTGTTTGTGTGCTGTGGAGTAGCAGGTGGGAAGTAACCCGTTTCTTGGAGGGTCTCATAAGTACATCTGCACCGGGATTCCTGACAGACAACCCCTTTTAGCATTGCTGGATCTGGAAGAAATTACTGTCCCCAGCTGTTAGCCACCCGTCCAGAGACCAGCCACGCTCTGGCAGAGCTGTTTGTGGGAATGCTCCCTAAATCCCGCCAGAGAAACATCAACCTGGTCTGAATTAACCAAGCTGACTTCCCCCGATGAGGGATGCTCCCGTTACAAAGCAGTCGCACCAACAGTGCCAGCAGACAGCCAGGGACGGGATGGGGCAGGAGGCGACGCAGAAGCCGCTGTCACATCTGGGCTTGGAAGGTGGGAGGCACAGCGGCATCGCAGCGCTGGTACCAGGGTCACATTCCCAGCAACACACCGGTCCCGGCCACGGACCGTGATTTTCAAATTCACCCTCGCTGGTAGGTGACCATCACAGACCCTCCCGCCGCCCAGAGCGGAGCTCATTCGATAGCTCCTTTCTTCCTCTTTGTAGGCTCTCCTGGAAAAGACAAGAGTGCCCTTTCCCAAGCGAGGGCACGCACCTCGGACTCCCCTTCCGGCGGCAGGAAGCTGCGGATCTCCTCTCCGGACCTCAGCACCGATTCCACTTCACCCAAAGCCACTCTCTGCTCACTTTCCCTCACCCACCCAGGCAGGGCTTGCTCTGACCAGGTGAATCCCAGGAGGTCCAAGCCCACCTTTTGGTGATGGCAAAAGCCCCTGAAGGTTTATTTTGCCCCAACAGCCTCACTCCCCTTCCCATTAACCCCCAGCCCATCACACACTACAAAGCCGGATCAACCACTCCCGGGATATTTTCCCGTGAGTTACAGCCTGGTATTAGCCATCCATCAGTCCGGTCACTACACTGCTTTGCTTGTCCCTCTCTTCCTAGAAACAGCACCAGTGAAAGAGCAAAGAAGAGTCACTCACATATTTAAAAAGCATAATGATGCTTTTAAAACTAGTTCAACCAGGGCAGGAGCATGTGGGGACACTCCCACAGGGAAAAGAGACTTTGGAAAAGCGATTTTTTCCCCTGCCCTGTAACATAGAAATTCAGCCTCACCTTTTCAAGAAAGCTGATTAATTCACAAGTACTTGTCCTGCCATCGAGGCAGAGCAGCTTACCTCTCTGCTGTTAACACCTCATTAACTTTCCTCGGTTTTCCAAGCCCCCCTCCCCAGAAACCTGAACACAATAAGGGAACAAACACTTCATCTGCAAGGCAGGAACAAGTGGCTGCTCCTGAATGGGGCATCTCGGGCACAGCCCTGAAATCAACGTTCTCCAAGAGCCCCAGTGATTAAACAGCGTGGAAAAGGTCTTGGGTTTGGGTCCTTTATCTTAACGCACCCACTGAAGAGCGAGGCAAGCAGGAGTGTTTTCTTCTGCTGTTTTTAACAACACAGAGCTCAAACTCGTTCTACTTACAGGCTTTTACGGATTAAAAAAAAGACAAGGAGAGATGCCACCTGCAGAAGCCAAGCAACGTATTCCTGGGGAACTTTGGCTTTCAGGCTGCTAGGGCTGGACTGTGCACACCAACGTCTGCTGGGCGCAGCTGTGGGGCCACGCATCCTACTGCTCCCAGCACAAATCCAGGGGCTGAAACTCCTAAATCCCGCTGCCTTTAAACCATCTTCTCGGGGGATGCACCAGAGCTTGAATTTGGAGATGGAGAGGTATCACTGGGAGAAGAGTACCTGGCTGTGTTGTATTGGAGGACGAGCTCACCTTATGGAGCACGTTCCCTACAAGCTCACGGAATCAGTTAACCTGCGCAGCGCTCAGTTTTAAAACGAGGGCACAGCGTAGCAGAGAGGGGTCCTGGCCTCTACAGGATTTAGGGACATAAGAGCCTCATGCTCAGCATTTGCTGAGAAACTCCAGCGTTTGGGGAAAGGCCCGTTTAAAAAGCAGCCCCTCTCCCACCCAGGCAGGCTTCTGGGAGCATTGCTGCGCTTCCGCTGAAACCCAACAGCTAACCAGGGCTAGGCAAGGCTTCCAGCTCCTGGAAGGAGTGGAGAGTCTCCCTCCATCCACAACCCTCTCCCCACCCCAAAGCTGCACATCTCACCTTTGTGTTGGCAGTCTGGAACAGTCTGAAACAGCTGCTCGGGAGGGATGGAGCTGGATGGCCCTGGCACCCCGCCGAGGACACCCATGATGAGAAAGGATGGAGCAGGCATGCTGCTGTGTGCTTGGGTGCCTTGGGCGCTCAGCATGGGCAGGCGGAGCATGCAGGCCCCACCCTGGGGAAGCAGGAAGCTACACAACCAGCTCCCATAAGTCTCAGATCCTGTTAACCCAAGGCAGACCTTGCTGAACTCCCACAGGCACCCAAACAGCAGCGAGGAGCTCACCTCTGGGTGTCAGAGCATCCGCTCTTCTTCCCAGCGCCGAGCGACCCAGCTCAGCAATTCCTTCAGCCAGCGCTCAAGTCCAACGGAAGAAACCAGCCCAGCTGATTCCACGTACACCCACAGACCCTTCATAGAATCATAGAATCA